CTCACTCACCACTTAAAACACTGAGTGAGCCACTGGGAAATAAGAAGATACTAATGTCAGGCAATTTTGCTACCTCAAAACTGTCCAAATAACTATACAGAACACCAACCAATATTACTTAACTAATAAAAACTGTATCTTGCTTTGAAGTGCCCATCTCCAGCACTCTGTGTACAACTTTTACTGAGAGCTTTAAGATAACCAAGCTAAAATTATAAATACGATGCATTAATTACTGACCTCAGCCTTTTTTTCTTCCATTTTCTCACTGTATTTGCTTTTAGGGTGCCTTACTCTGGGAGCATTTTTTTGTGAGTGAAATTTCAGACGCTTTGAAATACACAAAAGTTTTAACTAAACAGAAACCAAGATTCTGTGTAACACAAAGAAAAAAGGGTCAGGGATACACAGCTCTGCCTCTAGGAGCTGTCTGAACGACATCAAATAAGTTGCAACAATTCACAGTCAATTTAAAACAAAACACACGTTTCAGAAAAGCATTTGCCATCACCACAGGAGAAGACTGTCTAAGCTGCCAGCAATTCATCCACCCACCTGTGAGGGTTAGGCCTATAATGGAAACTCTCAGCTCATCAGAGTTAACCTGTGACTTATCCTGCAAGACTAAATACTCGTGGCCTTTTCCCATCAGACACCATCTCCTTTTCTTTTCCGTGTTGGATGATAATGAAGACTAACAGTTAACACCCAAAAATCAAAGAACTGGAGGGGGCGGTGGGGCTGTAGGAGGTGTGAGAATGGGGATGGGTGGGATGCCATGCACATCTATTGTATTCTATTGTATGCAATTCTATTGCATACAATAAAACTACATATTGGCTCAAAAATCAATACATCCAACCTAGATCCAGCTCTGCGGGTCCTCTTAGAAAGAAGACAGCTGAGAAAAAGGTGGCCTTCATTTAAGATCACGTTTGACTGCTGTGCCCAGACAGCACCACTACGTAATGTCACCAAGGTCAAAGCCACCCAGGTACTCCAGACTGTTTCCAAACGTGAGTCACCCCTGTATGCAACAGCCATACATTGCAAATGCTGTTGAAGAACAATGCTGCATTCAAGCAAATAGCAGAAACGCAGGATTACAGCTGTTTAAACACAAATTCTGCTGATGAAATAGAGTACTGAGAGAGGAAGCGATTTAGCAGCTACAGATAGCAAGTGGGGCCTTCAGGTCCTCAGAGTTGCACCTACATGGAATGAACTTTAAAAGGTAAAACCAATCATATCCACAATCCATGTTTTTCCACACTAAAGCATACTGGAACTCTACAGGCAAGAGGTGTGGCCCCCAAAGTATCGGTTCCGTGAGGAGTTGGCCCACAGAGCCCCTTTGCATGAGGGCAACAAATTTAAGTCCTTTGCAAATATTGAATATCCACCTTCTCACGGGCTGAAAGGACAGTGACAGCTGTTAGCAGCCACCCAGCTTTCACAAAGGTCAAAGAAAATTTTGATTAAATCACCTTCCTCCCCAAGCTTATTTTAAGCTTTACACTGAACGTGGAAAAAAAAACCAAAACAAACAACAAACCCACAGCATCTGCACCTCTGAAACATTCGTAACAAAATGGTAACACTTTCCACATTTAACCCCTTGACCATTTGCACTTGCCATGCTGTGACAGTATTCAGAGAAGGCAGAGTGTTTCCTGGACCATTTAACCACAAATTTACACGCAGCTCCCCCAGACTATATCCTGTACCAAAAGTCACCATCAACAAGGTTCATTCCCTTCAATATTCCAACCATGAAGCCACAGCCTTTTCCACTAAGAAGACAAGCACCCAAGTGCCAAGGTTAGTTTCAGCTCAGTTTGCAATGTAATTCCACTTGTTTCAAGGGCACTGCTGGGAAGTGTGGCACACATTCTGATTTTACTGGCTAAAGCACCCTTCCCAACACCTGTGTGTGCCATGCTCCATGTTCTTTCCCACTTAGCCAAGAGAGAAAAAAATGGATGAAGGAGATCTCAATATACTTTTACAGCCAGTGGTCTCCAAAAGTGTAGTTACTGAAGGTACAAGTCAGGTCTGCAGACTGGTACACATAATCTTTACTTACCATTTACATTAAAAAATCATTATTATTTAAATTAGTATTTAGAAAACATTGCCCATTTCAAGAATCAGACATGAAATAAGTATGTAGCACACCCTCCTACCTGTCAGCCTTTAATGCACTCTTCAGCCAGGGTGAAAAATAAAACAGTTGAGAGCTAATTTGTCCTTCACCCACCGCTTCCTCCTCAGCTCCTGAATGTCTGAAGTAACAAGTTGATACAAATGCTGCACTAGCACCTCTAATAATTCTGGTTATAGGTCCATTTACACTCACAGGGACAATCTTGAGATGTAACTCAAAAGTCCAGAATGGAGTGAAATATTGAGAAGAACTTTGCAGTAGGATTTGCAACCCAGAGGCAGAGAGATACACTCACATCACAGGCTAAAAGCCTGTTTTGGGAATAACTTGCCTCTTGCCAAAGGGATTTTACCGCTTCTGAAGTATGAGGCTTTCTGCAACCAGCTTTTTTTTCCCCCCGCAGGAACGAAGAGAAATTCTGCATAACTCCCTGCACATTAGCGCTCTACATGCTCTAAAAAGCAAGCTTGATTTTACTTCTCCTTTGCTACATTTAAAGGGGTGAATCACGAACACACAACCAGCCTGGCAGATCGGAGAGATACGAGGCTGCAAGTCAAGCCTGAGCAAACATCGCTGCTCTTTCTAGCAAATTTCCAAACGACAGTTGAAAACACTTGTTATTTCCTCAACTTCCAGTCCTCCAAACCAGATACCAGTCACATGTAGAACAGGAATCTGCTGCTCACAACACCTGCTCCTAAAAACCCATTCCGTGGCTACTTAAAACAAAGACTAAGTTCTAAGGTAAATGGAAATTTAATTTTGTTTGAGAACAACATGCCATGATCAACAGAAGGAGGTGGCATATATTAAATAGAGGTTGTTAGTGTGGTTTCCTTTGCCAGGGAAATGGAGAACTCAGAGTGAGAAATCACTGTTTTGGCCTAAATACCCAGAGCACTGGAAACCGGCAGTGCTTTCAAAGCTCTGCCCAATTTAAAAGGGACCAACTCTTGCCAATTTTGTATCTAGATTAATTTAATCCGTTGTTCCAACCCTTTTCCTCAGTGACCTGCTACACTTCTCAAAACTGCTACACTGAAGACATGAAAAACGATACTTTGATGCTGATTAAGCCAATTTTACAAACAAAATTTTCAGAGGAAAAAATGTTACCAAAACAGTTCGTAACTGCTGCAAAGACAAATACATGACTGTGTGTACACACCTGCAAATACTGCATAAACAAAAATAACTATTTATAAACACTACTCTCTACTACTGTTCTTGTACACAAACAAATCAGTATCACTTGGAAACTTCGAGGAATGAGGGAAAAAAAACTAAGTTCCTTTCGAAAATCCAGAATTTCTTTTCCGATGTCAAAATTGTTATTTTGCCTAATCACATGCAAACTATTTCATCCCCTCCCAAAGCCTCCTCAAGATGTTAAAAAAAAAAAAAAAAGGCAATTGCAGATTTTTCCCAGAAACATTCCCATGCAGCAGAGCTGTTTATATAGTGATGAATCAATATAGCATCACTACACTATTTCAGCAGTGTGTATCACCTTTCTTTCTATGGTATATAAAAAACATACCACAATAACCTCTCCCAGTCAGCATTTGCTACCTAATTTACTGTCTAGTTCTAACCAGATCTGTCTACAACATGACTCCAATGTCACAGCAAAACGGGATGCTGAACTGCCTTCCAGAACGGGCTAGGAATGCATCCAGAAGGGACAGCAATTAGCACGTCTAAAATAACCATTTCTACACAGAGACAGCTTAGAAGCTCAGATACGGTTTCATCTCAACTCGCACCGGTTACCAGCCCCAAACAGATGACTACAGGAGCGAATCCTGCAGTGCTTTGCAATCCAGATGACCCTCTCTGCCACTCATTCTTGACTTCTCCATTCAAAACACCGTTTCCGTTTCCCTCTTCCCCCTCCTCCCGAGCACAGATTTGTCCCAAGATGTTTCGTGTCCCACCAGTAAGGGAGCAGCCGGTCCCCAGCCTCCCGTGCCCGGGTACCAGCCCTGCCAGAACCAGCAGGTTTGCTCCACCATCAAACATGGCTGCACCACGTCCTCTTTGTGATTGAATGTGTGTAACAGCTCTTCTGCCTTCCCAGACTTCTTTTATCTGCCCTGCCTTCTTTCCTCCGATTAGCAAGGGACCATTTCAAATCGCTATCACCCACTTCTCGTTCCTTTTAGCAGTTTGGTATTTTCCATTAACGCTCCACCGGTAAAGCCAAATGCATTTCCACTTTCCAGGTTCTCTTCAAAAAACATCAAGGAGCTTTACACAGCGAAACCCTCCGCACCTTTCAAACCTCCTTATTTACACAGAGCACAAAAGTCTTCTCGTGAAAACCTCCGTCCACGGACGGAGAAGCCCCCCGCTAAGAGCGGCGGCAGGAAATTTTATCATCTGGCTTTTCTTCCCTGCAGCTCCCTCTCCTGAAACCGGACACCCTGTTACACAGATCCACCTCGGAGCCTCCCGCAGCAGCCACACACAAAACCCACCCCGGGCGAGCCTCCCTCCGCTCCGCACCCCCCGCCGCTTTTTGTTTTGTTGTGCTGCGGAGCTATTTATTATTATTATTATTATTATTATTATTATTATTATTAAATTTCTTCAGAGGGGAAAAAAAACCAAACAAACACACAACTCCCGAATCCCCGCTGGGATTTTCCCCGCGGTGGCCGCACGCAGAACTTGGCGGAGCAGGGCGGGCGCGGGGGGGAGCGCCGGGAGGGCGCAGCGCTCGGCGCGGCCCCGGCCCCGGTCCCCGTCCCCCCGCACCGGCCCCGCACGGACCGTTATGAGCCGGGGGCGGCACCGCAGCCGCGCTCCCACTCACTCCCTCACTCACCCACAGCTCCGTGCCCCAGCTCATGGCTCCGCCGGGGGGGGTTGAAGGGGGTCTCGCCGTGCCCTTGGCTGCGCTTCCTCGCCGTTCGGAGGGGCCGTGCGGGGCGGGACGGGCGCTGCTCTCACCGCCGCTCCCGCCTCATCGCGCCGCAAAATGGCCCGAGCGGCGCCGCGCGGGGCGGGCGGGAGGGGGGCGAGTGACAGCTCGAGCGCTGCGCAGGCGCGGCCCCGCCCGCCCCGGGGGGGGGAATGGCTGTCTCCTGAAACCCCACAACGCCAAGAGTTGGGGGGACCCGCAAGGATCGCCCGGTCCGGCCCTCAGCCCCGCACGGGAACACCCCCGGGAGTCGCGCCCTGCGCCCCAGAGCACCGCCCGAATGCTTCTGGAGCTCTGTCAGCCTTGGTGCTGTGAGCCTGTTCCAGCTCCCGACCACCCTCTGGGGGAAGAGCCGCTTTCTGATACCCAGCCCAAACCTCCCCTGGCGCGACTTAGGTTGTTCCCTCAGGTCCTGTCACTGGTGGCCACAGAGCAGAGACCAGTGCCTGCCCCTTCTCTTCCCCTCACGAGGAAGTTGTAACTGCAGTGAGGTGTCCCCTCAGCCTCCTCTTCAGTCACCAGGGAGCTGGCACTCCCTGCCCACAGAGCAGCCCTGCTCAGAGTCATTCAATCATAGACTCAGCAAGATGGAAAGAGACTTTAGGTCATCAAATCCAACTGTCCACCCAGCACTACCAACTGCAACCCCTAAACCACATCACTCAGCGCCACACCCAACACCTCCAGGATTGGTGACTCTACCACCTCCCTGGGCAACCCATTCCAATGCCTGACCACCTGAACAGGGAAAAAACTCTTTTCTAATATTTTATCTAAATCTCCCCTGTCTCAGTTTAAGGCCGTTTCCTCCAGTCACAGTAATCATAGAACATCCTGAGTTGGAAGGAACCCATCAGGATCATCGGCTCCAACTCATGGCCCTGCACAGGATACCCTAAGAATCCCACCACGTGCCTGAGAGTGTTGTCCGAACTCTTCCTGAACTCAGACAGGCTTGGCGAGGTGACCACTGCCTTGGGGAGCCTGTTCCAGTGCCTCTTGACCACCTCTTGAATGTCCCTGTCTCAGCTTAAGACCATTTCCTCTGGCCCTCTCACTGCAGGTAGAAGAGACTGGCCCCCACCTCACTACAACCTCCTCTCAGGTAGTTGTAGAGAGCAATGAGGTACCCCCGGAATGCAGGTCCCCCTCTCCTCGAGACTAAACAAATCCAGCTCTCTTGGCCATTCCTCATGAGACGTTTTCCAGACCTTTCATGAGCCTTGTTGCTCTTTGCTGGCCATGCTCCAGCACCTGGGTGTCCTTTTTAAAGTGAGAAGCCCAAAACTGAACTCAGTACTCAAAGTACTCACCAAAGTACAGAGATGGTGATCCCAGCCCCACCCACCCTCAGGTGCTGCTTCCCCACCTCTTACCTCCCTCCCCCCGAGCCGGGTGGGGCTGGTTTTGAATCAAATGTTCCTGTTTTGATCGCTTGTAAAGGAGGAAAGTGCCCTAGAGAAAAAGGGAACTCACACCCTTAAAACTTAGAGCCCTTTAAGCTGTGTCAGGCAGGGTTCAGGTTGGGCATTAGGAGGAATTTCCTCACAGAAAGGGTGATTAAACATTTTGGAATAGGCTATTCAGGGAGGTGGTGGCATCACCATCCCCGGAGGCCTTCAAGGAACTACTGGATGTGGCACTCAGTGCCCTGGTCTAGTTGACATGGTGGTGATTGGTCAAAGGTTGGACTCAATCATCTCAGAGGTCTTTTCCAACCTAATTGATTCTGTGAACTGACTGCAAGAGCTGACTTCTAACTCAGCTAAGCAGTGTATACACCCCCCACCCTCAAAATAACCCAAATCCGGGAATATTAAATCCACCATCTGTCACCAGCACACTCAACAAGCAAGCAAGGAAAATAACCAAATTATCTGCCTTTGCATAAATGTGGGTTACTGTAGCAATTACACAGGCCTTGTAGAAAATGGCCCATTTCCTTGCCAGAGAAATATTTATTTTGTGCTCCTCTTCCTCTGTGTCATTTATCTGAGCTGTGTCATTTAATCTCATTTTGCATTGCTGCTTTTCAGCTACAACAAATGTAAAAAAGAGCTTGAGGCTGATATATTCCTTGCTGCATCAACTCATGAGAGACTTACATGGGGAGGATACTTATTCACCTGAGGAAAAAGGCTTCTGCTCACAGAGGGTGGGGATGCTTTTGATGTGAGAAGACAAAAATTGACCAGCTGCTACAACAAGCATTATCTCCTCTGGATTAATGCACTTCTTCCACTGATGCTTGGCTATTACCCTACATGAAAAAGAAAAACATATCAAGCAATTCCAACGTTTAGAACAACAATGAAGGCAAATGTTATGTTAATAACTGAATTGCATTTATTTTTATCCGCGTTCCATTGATTTGAACATGAGAGTAGAATGCTGCTCCTCACACAGCTGTTTTTGAAGAGAGACGGAACAGGCAACGCTTTTGTTCATCATTAGAAATTATTACTTTGAAGGACTGACTTCACAACAACTAAAAGACACGCTGTTCAACTCATTTTAGAGTACTTCTTCCTTCTACTGCCAACATATTTGAATATCCAAGCCTGCCCTGCTGCCTGAAGCACAACCACAATCTTCCAGGGGCCTAAACTTCCACAGACTCAGACCTACCAGCCTTAGCCCTACATCCATCCAGCACACATTCCAAAAGCAGACAGCACAGTTGCATCGAGACTTTTTGAGAGCTTAACCCATAAATACTTGTAGGAGAAGAATGTACAGAAACAGAAAGCAGCATTGGTATCATCTGAGGTAAGGTTGCTGTGGAATTTCCTTTTGCACAAAGAGCTGGGAGGGGAACAAGGCAAACCTGTTACACCAGCATGGGCAGGGAAACCTGTCCACACCAAGAGATAGAAATGCTCCACCAGTTCCAGAAAGATAAAGGCCAGAAATACAAGTTTTGTATTATGATGGTACATTTGAATAAACCATGCAAAAAAACTATGACGAGACATCAAAATTTGTGTGGACAGAGGCTCAAGACAAAACCTAAATAAAATTAATTCTAGATGGTTCTAGAACAGGACTTTCTTTGACTGTCTTTATTGTTTAGCCTGAAACTCTCCAAGGCAGGGACTGCCACTTACATTATTACTTTCAGTTGTACAGTGCCCAAAACAACAGGGCCTGCAGCTTGGCTAGTCCCTAATTACTAATGTAATTAGAAATGACAGTAGCATTAAGAGCCCTTTATGCTGAAGGAGATGCTGGAAAGCTCAGTAGTTCTCAGTCTCAAAAAATAACTCCAAATGACACTTGGAAGTTGCATTATCTAGCCCTTATTTATTCATTTTGCATAATCCATATCTCAGCAACACAGAAGCTGGTAGGAATTTTCCCTCAGCCACGCTGAGAACAAGACCATGCAGATCTGTTTTCCAGATATGGACCTATTCCTGTAAATTCTCTGTGTTTACCTCTCCTGTTGTTATGATTCAGAACACTCCCAGATTCAGGTCATAATTCCAAGCAGAAGTAATTCCCTTTTTAGAAAGCCAAGACTTTGTTTAGAAAACCCCAATCCCACTTGAAAATTGCCAGATTAGCTGCTAAATGGTTGAGAAACTACAGAAAGGAGATAAAATAAATCCCTAAACTATAGTTCAATCTAAGCCCCTTTCTCTGTGTTTGTTTACTTATGCAGAGCAAGAAAAATCACAACTTTCAGAGCACGTACAAGCTCTTCCAGGATAGAGCAGGAAGAAGACCTACCTTTCCTCCCAGAGTTATCACTCTTACAGCTGCTTCCCTTCGATTTTATAACTCTACCCAAACCATCCACGTCCAAGATAAGGAACGTGGATGCTGACTGTAACCTCTCATACACTGGGACTGAACCAGCACCAGGAAAGGAAGAGGACACACCTTTCCTTGAGGCCATCACCATCACAGCTGTTTCCTTTCTGCTGTTACAACACTACACGCGTCATTCAGACACACAGCTTGGGACCTTGGTGCTCTTTAATGCCCCATCAAGGCCCAGAGGGGACTGATAATGATCTGATAACCTTCTGATAAACCATAACGGCCCTGGCCAGCCCCACCTGGGGCCTCTGCCGTGCACCCAGGAGCTCCATTTAAGCTTTGGTGTGAAGGCTCAGTTGTTTTGCCCCGTGTTGGAGGGGATCCTGACTCCAGCTCAGCCTATGCCTGGTTATAAACCCTGCTGATGGCTCACGTTTGGCCTGTTTTCAGACCTGCCCCATCCCTGAGGATGCACATTGTTAGGCTGTGACTGACATTAATTACCATCACCCAAACTGCAGATTGACTTCTCAGCTCAGCCGTGCCCCTGTCTCATGGCTGGGAACTCACCAGATGACCTGGATTTTGGCTGTTTCCACCTCCAACACCTGGCTCTGCTCTCGTCTCCTTGCCCAGGGACCGAGTGGCTCTTGCCCCGTGTCTGTTTTATCTTGCTCATCTCCCCACTCCATACTTGTACCAATCTCAATAGTTGCCCATGATACACTAAAAAAAACCCCACTAAAACCTGTGAAGGGTTCTAATTAAATGTTTGCTTACAATGACAGAGTAAAGAAAAAGATATCCAGGCTAAGAATAACTATATGTGCTGGAACTGTACATTCAGAGCACAGAGAATCTTGTCTGGGAGCTACAATGAAAACATATCAATACAGTGATGAGAGTTTCTGTTACATGATGGACAGCAGCTGGTTTGCATATTGATAGAGATGTAAATTTAGGTACAGGCATCTTTTAATGCAAAAATTCTTAGAGGAATGTATAGACAAAGAAAGTAGGCATGTTATAAATTCTATTTTTGGGATCATTTAGTGTAGGTAAAGGGGAGTTCGTTACTACAATATGCTAATAGCTGGAGAAACACTGAAAAAAAATAAAGATCTTCAGGCAGTTTCTAGTCTGTGGCATAAAAATCCCTGATTTCTCTAAGGAATCACCCTCAGACTAAAAAAGGCTCTTCAGATGAATCAATACCCAGAACTGCAGGGAAATGACACGTGCTCTTTGACCACTGGAGCAGTCAAAGTGTGCCTGATAGTTGGGAGTGGGACGAGGCAGGACACC